GTCCAATACAGGATGGAAATTTTCATTGGCCCCACTTTTGTTGATGATGTATTTATAAAAACACTTTCCATTATCTTTCACAGCAGTGGTCAGGCTGAGTTCTATTTGAGCTTTCATCTTTCTAATTTTCTCTCTACACGACCAGCGACATTCTTGTACTCTTCCTGAGTTGCCTGTCCCTTCTTCCCAATGTGTGTATATACATATACATATACATATACGTATACGTATACTTATACATATATGTATGCATATGTGTGTGTCTACATGTGCAAACATGAATACAACTAAGACTTTTTAGATAGGCCTTATAGACCATTATAATCTTTTTCAGACCTTAACTCCAGATATCCAATCCAAATTATCCACAACAGAAGACTATTACCTTTACATTTGCCCACTCTCCTTTCTAATCCACAGACGTAAAGTATCTGTTGTAGTCAAATTGTCTGTCTTATTTGTACAATTGGATTAATCCCAGCCTGACTATTCCCAGAGTATGTCTTGCTTGAAAGGTGTTGCTCTGTTTCAGATCTGAGAAAAAATCGATGGGTTTGAACATTTGTCTGATTTTGAATATCAACCAGTCTGCAAGAAAAATGCCACTTCATATATACTTATTTTGATAAAAGTGCTGCACAAGTATTATTTAAGCACAACTGTGTGAGGGAGGATGCCCACACATGAAAAAGGAGGAAATCAAAATGAAAATTCTCCAAAACAGTCTCTGTACTTGTATGTCTGACTGACTGAGACAGACAGGGTCTAATATTTCATAATACTTAATTGCTCTTAGGACACAGCACCTATCAATTAGAACCTAAAAATATTAACCAGGCTATCCTTCAAAGCATTGCTGAGAAGCAAATCAAATAAATATTATCTTATTTTTATGGATGAAAATGTTGAAACCAAAAGAAATGCTGGGAATATGCTAGGACCCTGGCTACAGACAATCCAGCTCAGAATCCTATTCTCCTTTCTGCAGACCATGTTGCTCTATTGCAATGGCAGCTACAAAATTACTTCAGCTGCAGTAGTTAGGACTTGGTAGACCTATAATGTAGGCAGGCACTTTGTCTCTTAGTTTAGAAACCATATGACAGAGTCCATATGTTCTCATCACAATGCAACTTGCTTTGTGATGAGAACAATTTTTAAAGCAACTTGTCCAGACTCAGGTATGAAATTTAAGGTGGAGGTGGATCTAATTTCTTGGAAGGCATTCACCTACCTAGATTATGAGTTAATCTCCAGGCTGTTTAGCTTTCTCAAAACAAAAGAGCAGGTGAGAGACTTCCTATAAATAACACCACATATATATGTTTGCTTCCTTAGAGAACTGCATTCTTCCAATATGATCCATATGTTTGCAGCAACAACCATTCCAGAATGACTGGTTGCAAATATCACATAATTTTAAAGTCTCAGTTTAAGAGCAGTAAGAATAATTTTTGTTAAGTGTGTCCTAAAGATACTCCACTTTTCTGTAGCACTGAGTCATCACGGAGAGGTAAAGTGCATAGTGAAAAGCAAAACAATCTCAATACTTGCAATTGCAAGTGTAAAAGTTCATCACAGTACTCTGCTCACTTGATGACTTTTTCTGAAGTGCTATATGATCTGCTTTTGCTTCTTTCTTGCTTCATGAAATAGATTTCCCCCCAAAGAAATTACATGGTTCATATCTTTACGTTCACTACCTGTGTGGAATTTAAGAGACCTGCTAAACATAGTAAATGAGCATGGAATACATCTCAGTTATGCACAGGAACTAAGCACAAAAGTTGGATGTGGAAACCACAGGCAATATTTTTGCATTCTTATTCATCTGATCCATAGATGCTGGGTTTTAAACTTTTTTTTTTTTTTTAGGAACTCATGAGAACCATTACAAATTTTATTTCTTATATATTATTGGAGAGCGTCTGTCCTGCTAATTCAAAAATCAATTTTTCTTTGGACCTCTTTAACCCTTCTGACAGTTGTCTGTTAAAGTTCTAACTTGACTCCTAGTTGCCCAATTTTGACATTCAAACACTTCTAGTGTAAGAACCGGAGGTGTTCTTTGAACTAAATTTTATTCACCAGAAATGTAATTAAAGGATTTGAAACTACTCCTAAATTTGGGCTGAATTTGACAAAACTAAAATCAACAGAAAATAGAAGCATTTTGCTTCAATAATTTTGAAGCAGTAAAAAACCTTTTTTCCTCCTCCGTTTGAAATTGCAGAAAATTTGTATTAATGGTTAAGAATTATTAAAGCTCTTAACTGAAATATAATATTATGAACACTTTCTTTTCCTTTAGTCACATAGAAAGGTTCGTATAAATGTTTTGTTCAGTAACTCTTTGATGGTTTAACTAGCAATAAAAAACCCTAAACCACAGATGAAACCACCCACGCAGCATCCCAGACCCCCTTAGAAATTAGCAAATAATCTACTGCTATTTTATTAAACAAGATGGTAAATACATATTAACTGCAGAACCTCCTAGGAACTCAAACTCCTGTACAAGCATGTATTCTCAGAACTGGATGATAGATCTTTCACAAAATTTTATTTGCTCTTAAATGAGAATGTATTAATCATGCAAAATGAAAAATTACTCATTCTGTTTAAACAAAAAGAATACTGATAGCCGTTTTACGTTTCTTGCAGTCTGTTCCTAGTGAACTACTTCAGTCGTAAAGGATTGAGTGTTCTTACCTAAGCTGTTCCCATGGGACAAAAGTAATAATTTCTAATGCTTTACTTCAAATTACAGCACTTTAGTGATCATCACTCAGAAATCTGGAGCTGCCCATCAGCCACCAGCCTCCTAATCACACATCACTTGTTATCACTTCCAGAGCAATCTGGACCACCCTGTCCCTGTCCCTCACCCTGTTTTTACAGACCTCTTCCTCAGAGAGTCAGTCTCATTTGGAACAGCAGACTATTTCCATTCCGTCAGTCAGTTTGAATGGAAAAATCAAGAGTATTTGCCCTTTTGTCATCTTCCTTCATCTTCTAATTTCGTGTGCTCTTCAGAGCTCCCTTATGTACATTTACAAAGGGAATTGAAGAAATGGGAGTCTACCAAAAACAATCACAGGCCCCTCTTCTTTTCCTCCCATCCCTTTTCCTCCACTATTGAACTTCCATTCTTTTTTCTAATTGTTTTCAAAAAGCCAACAGGAAACTTAAGCTGATCAACATTTTAGTACATGACTTGGCCCACACATGGTTATTTTTATACTGAGATACTCTGAGCAAAGATCAGACCTCCTGCTGCAGGAGCACTCTAACACAGACAGTTCAGTCCCTGTGATAATAATTACGTCTCCAAATTGGACAGACACAAGCAGTGGCACATCCTTAAAGCATTGTCTCCCATGTTCCCATTTATACAGAAAGTCTTAGCTGTGTAAGAGGATTTCTTGTTTTCATAGCAAAACATCTCAAAATGCATCATTTACACTGGGCACAACTCAGCTCTGTAAACTGCTTAACCACGCTGCTAATATAACCAAGGCTGCCTTAAGCTAAGCTACTGCTGATGTGAAAACAACTGCATAACTATAGTCTTTTCCTTCACTGTCATTTAAAATAAAAAACAAAACCAAATAAGTGCTACAGTGCTACAGTAAGTCTACCAAAGTCTAAACTGACTACTTTCAGACACAAATAAACAGATCTAGCATAAATGCATAAATGTGACAATTGTAAACACGAATTAATTTCCATGAAGACAAAAAATCAAAAGGCAGATAAATATTTTTAAGAAATATAGTTCTCCCTAGTGCATTTCAGAAAGAGAATTATAGAACAGTATACTTGTAAAACATTATGGGAATCACTGGCATAATGAACAGATGAAACCTCAAAAATTCTCTGCCCTTCCATAGGAACAGCAGACCATAAGCTGCAGCAATGCACATGCTCTGCTTCTTCCAGTGTACCAGATGCAAATTCAAAAGCAGCACACACAACTGAATCTTTGTGCCAGTTTAAACCTTGGCTTATGTTCAAAGATGACAAATTAATGCCTACATTTTCCTCCTGTGAAACCCACTCATTACGTCTTGCATTGAGACCACCAGTGAAGTCACCATTTGGACATGTTTACGCCTACCCACCCGTCCTTATGTTTCTACATGTGAACGTTCCTGAACATTGTGGAATAATGAATGTTCTAACACTGGAATAAACTGATTCAAAACCATTCATGAATAAATATCACGTACATGCCTTCACAGCTTGCTTGCTTTCTCTCAGACTTCTCTTCCCATCCTAGGAATATGAACTGCTCTACCCCATGTCCCACTCTGTCTTTCTGCATGAAGTCTCTCAATCCATGACTTGCCTTTCCTCTCTTGTCTCTCGTCTTTCTTTCCACCATCTATTTTTCCGAACACACAAAAATAGCTGTAGTATAAATGTGACATATATGGAGCTCCAAAAATAAATTTTCATCTCAATGGGTTCTCTAGCAATTTTGTAGTGGCAAAAAAATCACCACAAAATATTTAATTTTACTTTGGTTTGAGTTTGTGTTTTAATCAGTTTCTGAAAATATATGAATTGTGTCATGGCATTTTTCTAGCAAAACAACGTATTAAATCAAATAAAAAACACTGAATATTTAAATTATTCAAGGTGTCTTTTTTTGGTTTTTTTTAGTGAAAGAAAAAGACACATTTTTTCTAAAAGTTTTTTGCCAAATTCAAGTGAACACAGACAATACCAGCTGAGGGTACAAGCCAGATTTGTGGGGATATATAATTCCCACCACAGTACTGTTACCCCTGACAGCTGTTTTAGTGATGAGGAGCCAAAGCTCACTTATGGAAAATACAAGTTTAGCAACTTATAATCCTAAATCTAGCACATTTTCCCCACATAAATAAACTGCACAAAAAAGCCCAAACAAAACCAAAACAAAACAAAAAAACAAAACAAATCCCCAGGATCCCAAACATATTCCAAAGCAAAGCAAAACAAAAATGACTTACTGTCTTCTTCAACATTTTGACGGCGTAAGGTTTCTGGGTCCCTTTCTGCCTGCATCTGTAGACAATGGATGTAGCCCCACTAAATTAAAAAAAAAAAAAAAAGAAAGAAAAAAGAAAAAAAAAGAAAAAAAAAAGGAAGAATAGTTGGGTTGTATATACAACTCTTTGACTCTTTGAATCTGTCAATAAGCAGAGTTGCCTACATTTTCTACTCCTCCCAGTTTGGGCAAAACTATCTCACTTTTCCCCACAGATGCAATAAACCCTTCCCCCCAAAACCCAAGAAGTGTCCAAAACCTCTCTATGTTTAACCAGTGAACTTCAGTTACTCAGCCAACAGAAGCTGCAAGAGTTTAACATCCTGTTTGATCCCACCTTTTCTGTCTCATGGCAATTCGTGGGGATTTCCTTGGACGATCAAGTGAACACACCTTGCCTTTGGTAAGGCAACACATTTGCAGCAATAAGTTACATTGTGGGGTTTTTTCCACTAATTGTTGATGACTCCAATGGTGAGAAAGAAAATTTTTGCACTGCTCCTTGCCCAGTCGACCAAAAAGCCAAATTTTGCACCAAATGGATGAAGTAGCACCTTAGGTTAATTCAGGGGAAACAGCTGGGACTTGTTCACAGCAAAAGTGGGCTGGACTTACATCTTTTGTTTCCCTTCAAGATGTAGTTACTTGAACGTGTAAAGTCTGAGCACTCATAACATAAAGTTATGGCCCTGCTGGAAGGAAAGCACTTCTCTGAATGGGTAGTTGGGGTAGATGGTCTCCAGAGGGAGGCTCAACTTGCTGTGTTTTACTTGTTACAGGAAGGGCCTGTACTCTATGAATTACTAAAGAGAGGTGAAATCTCAGACAAACTCATACTGGTTATAACAAACCATTGAGATACCCCTGTATTCTACCCAAAATGGATGCACTGAATCACCATCGATGAATTTAAGGCATTTTTGGAAGCTTCCTTCCCTCAGACCCACTCCAAGACTCAGCACTCCTAAGCAGCTGCATATTTTTAAGGTAGACCTTCTGAACAACCATTGCAGAACTGCATACAGAAACTGTGCAGTGAGTGAATTCTCATGCATCCATCCATCCCAGTGAGTCTACAGGAGACAACAAGAAGTTGTGCAATGATAAGAGCAGCTTTCTTTTAAACAGCAGAATGGCATAGCTGTACTCGACTATAGGAATAAAGGTGGGGCACACATTATTTTAGGTGCTGTACAAAACCATCATGGGTTCCCTGCACTTCTCCCTCCTCAGCATGGGTCAGACAGGTGCCAGACAAGGCTCTGAGTAGGCACATCCCTATTTTCATAAGGACTTAAGTATGCACAAGAACTGGTGCTTGATTTAGAAGATTTATTTCTGAAGACCTCTTCATAAGGAAAGGTCACCTGTAACAAGGGTTATGCAGCTCAGTCATCTGAGGTCTTCTCTGCACCACATATAAATTAATCTTCACTTCATCGCAAATGCTAAAATGATTTGTCTCTCTTAAAAGTATATTGATTAATGTGTGGGAGTACTGAGACCTTCAGTGACTCCCAGAATTACTACATGAGTTTAATTAGATCTCCTCTCCTTGGCCAAGTCTCCAAAGACTCTATTTAGCAAGAAGAAAAAATATACCACATTAAAAAGAAACCCTCATATCTTTTAAATACAACAAAAACTGTTAAAAAATAGAATTCTAAGAACGTACAGTGATAAGGTCTAAATCTCCAGTATTTCTCTGCAGGATTGCAATTGGGAAGTCGGTGAACAAACTGCAAACCATTCCTGTACCCTGTTTCACATATGCAGAGTGCAGTATAAGCATTAAACTCAATAGCTTACATATGTTCTTACAAAGTAGGCAGCAACCTTTCTAGGAAATATTGTATTTGGGTGAGGGCAGAATTAGATAAGCTATCCAGCTGACAATCCAAATAAACAGATGATCATTCCCGTGCAAATCTCTGTGTTCACTGCTGCTGGGGCAATGGAGGACAGTCCCTGTCTCCCAGTAAAGCCACTGTCAGTATTTGCATTACCAGTTTGCAACATGGTGCTGCAAAGTCTTCCATGTAAATAGCCCAGAATACCTAGCCACTAGAATACCCCAGATTATTTAACTGGCTTAGTCATGAGACGGACAGCTCCACCAGCAAGGGTAGATAGCATCACACCACCTTTACTTTAATGAACCACCAGTTCATTTGACTGTACCCAAACTTGGAAGACAGGCAGCATAATGCTTGAAATAGGTGTAAGACAGCCCGGAGAGAGAATCCAGCTGAGCAGTTTGACATCAGGCTCATTAGTTAATACTTAAAACACAAATAGAGGTGTTACTTTGTAAATTATTCTCCATTGTACAGATTTCTGCATACCCCTGGAGTCTTAATTTGGTGTAAAATTGATGACAAGGTATAGTAAGCTTGGGAACACTCTGAAAAATTTTGATTTTGGTTTACATGGCATAGCCAGCTCTGACAGACATGCTTCCACCAGCCAGGAGAGAAAACACATAACATTAGCTAACAACCAACACTGCTTTCCTCTTCTATGCCAGAAACCAGAAAAGGAAATCAGGAACAGGATGGCAACCTGCTTACACCATGCCTGTAGCAGAGAACTATTACTAGTATGGACCTGACTCCTTGTTTCTTTGCTGTAACAGGATATCTTTGTTTCTTTACAGTTAAGAATAAATAAATAAATAAAATGAAAATAATAAATAAAATTTTAAAAAGAGCAGAAATCAGCCTATGGATCTCAATGTAAATGTGCAAACAGAACTGCCTCATGCAAATCAGGGATGTTTGCTTTGCTTCTTATTTTGGCTTCCTGCTGCAGCTCGCTGCTCTAGCTTTCTGCTGAATCAGCACATCCAGTTTTCCTGAGACTGTGTGACTTGGAAGGTCACCAACTGGAGCAATTCAGACTTTCATCACCAAAGAGCAGTGGAAAGATTCAGCTACAAGACTCTCATGTGAAGCTGAAACACACAGACAGCTGCTAATTGTAACCTCTTGCCCCTACCCTAAGTTTTTGCAACTTCAAACCTTGACTGCCATCATCCGGCCTCTCAGAATCTCCTCTTGAATTTGCATCAACTGAAAACTTCATTGATACATTTGGTCAAAATACACAAATATACAGAAACCAGGAACCCTTGTGGCAACATGCCACTTCCCTCAGGCATGGAATTCATGGTCAGGATAGGCAGATCTCCAGGCTTTCAATGTCCCATTCTCTGCAAGGGATGTTTCACCTTGTCTGAATGATAAATGTAAATAGTGCTATAGAAAGAGATCACCTATACTCAATGATTAAGGCACTTATTTGATAAGCGGCAGGAAACAGCTCTAGAGAATATTTAATCCTACCCCATTAACAGTTTAAATGGGAGAAACTTAGAGGGCCCTGAGCCCAAAGAGCTGATAATCACTTGTAGAAGTGCACTGCAGTGTATGACTGACAAGTGATCCACTACCAGTTCAGGCTAGAAACCAGAAATCATATCACTCACATTCCATAAGATTACTCATTATATTGTGTGTGCCTATTTAGAATTGATTCTGTCACCTTTTGCTTCTTTGTATTTAGTGAATATGTACAAACATATCTATCTTTGCATATATATATATATACACACATTTATATGCAATATTTATTATATATATTTGTATATGCAAATGTGCATTTATTTACTTCTAAAGAAAATGTAGCTTAAAGGAACATCCTGCTGCTAGGTTTTTGCACCTTTGCCTGGAAAGAGTCTACCTGAATTCAAAACATAAATTATTTGACATTGGCTGGAAAAAGAAAAATGGTGGTGGGGAGGGGAGGGGAGAAGAAGAAAAAAAAAGAAGGTATATTCCTCAAATATGCAGTTAACCAAGTTACAGAATAGCAATTAGAATTGTTGAAAATATTGCCATTCTCCTTTACTGACACGTGTGTTTCAATCTGGAAGGCTGCTTAATGATTCTGTTAAATATCTGCTTTTAAAAGCCCAGGTATAACTGTGATCATGCTGAAGAATGGCAACAACAACAACAAGAGAGGATTTTACTGTGAAGATGCCCAAATGCTTTACTACAAAAATATGTTCCTATATATACATATATACATACATATATATTGAACTTAGAAAAAACCTGAAAATAATGTACACATATTAACTACTTGGTCATAATGGACAAGACAATCACTTTTTTGATTGTGACAACACATAAGAAAGCTCATAATGTCCTATGCATGGAATGTATCACAGCTGAGGCACACACAACCCAGTAATAGCACAGAAATAGTTTTCCTGAAGTACAAATACTTCAGTGACATGATAAATTCACTCACCCATCAGTCAAGTAATGTAAGTATGTACCACTAAATACATCAAAATAGACTAAATTTCAATAACTGACCTCTGCATGTGTGTTGAAAATGCTTTTAAAATATTTAAAATGTGCAAAACCTTCTGCCCTCTCCCCACCCACCCATCAATATACAATTGGTTGAGCATTCTGGATTATTTTTCTTATTATTACCCTCAGATATTATTGAGTCCTCAATCATTTCAGGAGGACACTCTTTTAAAGGTTGGGCAGCAGCATCACCGTGTCCTGCCTGTGCTAAGGACTCCAGACTGCAAGACTGAGAGAAAAGGCATGGGCACACCTCAAATACATGCAGTCAAAAATAGTGGTGTCAGCACAGATGGAAGGAAGGCAGGGACGCCCAGGAGGGGTGTTAAGGAGGTGGAAGTGATCAGCAGAATTTGCACATAAAGGAGAAAATGGAATTTGCAGGATCCTGCAGTGGAGCCTGGCAGAGAAAAAAAATACAAAGTAAGAAAAGACAGAATTTGACCCCGTTTGGAGAAAGCATTTCTTCCCTGAAACCCACAGAAAGCTTCTGCCTCTGAAACAGGAAAGGCAACCAAAATGAAATGCAGCCATATGTTTATTTGGCCACAGATAGGTAGTAAAAGTAAATTCCTCAAGCTGCAGTTTTTAAAATAAAATAACACTCATTGGCAGTAATTTCACTGTTAGAAGGAAATTTGGTCTTTTCAAAAAGT